ACGCCTGATCTTAGCAGGGACCTCTTCTCCATCATCTGAGCTAACTGTCAGGGTGCCGCTGCTGTCTACAGGTTCGTATTCTGAGGCGGATTCTGTCAGTGAGTCTTCCCCTTCGCTCTCACCTGACATGTTCAGAATCCTGTAGGCCTCTTCACTAGAGTACCTTTGCTTGGACATTTTGGCCACTAAATTTACAGGTACCTAGTGCGACTCACGAGAAATACACTATAGTAATGTGAACGCTGGTATAGCGCTGATCTGATCAAAGATATTGATCCACTCAGACACTATAATAGCAATGGAGGTTTAGCGTGCAAGTGAGCATGTTCCTGGCAATCAAGGGGTTAAAAGTGATTAATGGTGTACTAGTGGGCAATCTGACGCTATCTGGGAGGGGAGCTAACTGACACTAACACTATCGGAAGTCATCAGCGACACTAATACAGTGATCAGTAAAAATCTGTTCACTGTAATCAATGGCACTGGTGACAGGGCAGTGAAGGGGTTAACTGGGGGGGGGGGTTATAAAGGGGTTAAATGTGATTACTGGTGTACTAGCGGGCAAGTCGGAAGTCGCCAGTGACACTAATACAGTGATCAGTAAGAGAGTATTGTTGTATTGGGAAAAGTGATTAACGCAGGGATTCTAGCATGTAAGATGGTTTTTATTCCTTAAAATGTGATATGTTAATTATATATTACTTTGATAATATCTGCAGAATTATTAATATTTAGATTAGTAAACTTAATGCTATATATTTGTATGCATCATTCATTTTTAAGAGTACCAGAATCTGTCTTTTTACCAGTTTTACAAGCCATTGTTACATATTTTGCTTTCCATTTAAATTGGAATTTGATTAAAAAAAACTAATGCCAGGTTATAAATGTAGCAAATTATAGCTCACAACGGCTCACCAAATCAACATCAAAATCACCAAAATAAACAGCTCACCAAAATCTTTGAGAATGAGTGAAATTCCAAATGTGTTAGATGTTCTGCAAGTTCAGCCGGGTCCAGGTGATCAAACAGAAGAGATGTCTTTCTTATTCTGCCCCCAGTTTGCCCTCGTTGTGTCACTTGTCTTTTCCAGCCATAAGACGGGCTATAAATCAAAGCAAAACTAACACATTAATTAAATAACTAGCTAATGCCTGTAAACACCCACAGCACTGGAAAAAAACAAACACAAGTGTAAGTATAATCAAAGGGTATTATGTAATAATTTTTTTGTTTTTACAGAGAGTAGTCCCAGTATAACCATGTAGAAATACAATCCCTTTCACTCGTTTTCTGTCTATAAAGGTCAAATATTTTTTCATACTATATATAAAATACTATAATACTATAATATAGAAAATACACATTCTTGCGCACATGAGTTAAGTACCTCATGAAAAGTTAATACCTATTAATAAATCCCATGTTCCCCCTTTTAATGCTTAAAGCAGAACTTCACTCTCTCAATCAGCATTGAATATTTTAAATCCTATGCTGTTAGCATTAGTAAATAGAAGAGTATTTGATATTTACTTGTGTAACACACTGCATTGTTCCTGTTTAAAGGATGTTGATTAACAACAAGATGGTGGTGTTCCACAGTTATCTATTAACTGCTTGAGCCCCAGCCACTGCATGAAAATGTTTGCAGGGCGGCACGGCTGTGCAAAACCACGTTTTAAAACGTGGTTTTGCAAAACAGGTAGGGGGCACACGTGAGGCGCGTGCCCGCCCTACCTGTCCCGCGGGTGTCAGCAGCGGGTCTCAGCCGCCGCATCACGGCCGGTCATTACTGGCCGTTTCCCCGCGATTAGCGGTAATCGCTGACAGAGAGCAGGGCTACATTGTTTACACACAGCCCTGCTCTCTGTCAGTTGCCTGTCAGTTCCTGACAAGCTGAAGAGGGAGAGAAGAGTTTTCTCTCTCCCGATCAGCCTGTCCCCGTCCAGCACACACCTCCGCCCCCTAGTAAAATACTCCCCTCACACAGTTAACCCTAAAAAATGTTAATCCCTTCCTCCCCAGTGCCATTAGTACAGTGTCAGTGGGTTTTTTTTTTCACTGATCACTGTATTGGTGCCACTGGGGATGTCAGTGACCCCAAGTCAGTTCCCCCCCAGTGTCAAAATGTCTGCCGCAGTCCTGCCATAAGTCGCTGATCGCCGCCATAAGTCGCTGATCGCCGCCATTATTAGTATAAAAAAAATAAAAATCCCAGTATCTTTCCCACCATTTGTAAACGCTATAACTTTCATGTAAACCAATTAATTTACATGTATTGGGATTTTTTTTTAGCAGAGACATGTCGCAGAATGCATTTTGGATGAAATTTGTGCCAAAATTTGATTTTGATAGCAAAAAGTCCAAAATATTGTTTTTTTTTCTCAAAATTGTCAGCCTTCTTTTTTTTTATAGCGCAAAAAATTAAAGACGCACAGGCGATCAAATACCTAGAAAGCTCAATTTGTGGGAAAAAAAGGATGTAAATTTAATTTGGGTGCAGTGTTGCATGACCGCGCAATTGTCAGTTAAAGTAATGCAGCGCCGTAACACAAACCTCTTCTGTAACCGTTTCCTGACCACCCTACAGCAGAAATACTGCTACAGGGCGGCATGGGTACGCAAAATCACATATATATATATATACGTGATTCGCTCTCTCCCGTGGTTTTCATACCCCTCCCAGATAGCGTCAGATTGCCTGTCAATACACCAGTCATCACATTTAACTCTTGATTGCCAGGAGCACGCTCATGTACAATAAACCTCCATTGCTAGTATAGTGTCTGAACGGGTCAATATCTTTGATCAGGTCAGCACTATACCAGCGTTCACCCCGGCACCTGCCAACACCTGCGTTTAGCCCCAACGCTTACCCCCCCTTCTCCCCCAAGTGCAGTGGCATTAGGTCACTGTCACTTGATACATCGCACACAAAACCGCAGTGTTCGCAGAATCAGGCCTGATCTCTGTTAGCACTTGCCGGTAAATTTTGATGACTCTCCTATGCAGCAGAGTGCCAGTACTAGTGCCGCTCTACCTTTTGGTGAACTGGCGAGTACCAGCGGTCTAGTACATCCTGGTCTTTCACATACCTCCTTGATTTTTGGAGCTGTTTTTCACGGAATATCTGTATGCGTTGATTGTGGATCAAAGCAGTTTATATGCACAACAATTTATTGCCGCCAACCCAAATTCAAACCTTGCCAGACCATTCGCATGGAAACTCATTACGGTTTTCAAATTTACATTTTTTTTGGGCCTAACCCTCAACATAGGCATTACTAAAAGAAATGAATTGTATTGGTCCGCAGACCCGATTCATCATATGTAGAGATGAGCGAATCGAACTTGGCGAAGTGGAATTTGTTTAGAATATTAGGAAAAATTCGATTCGCGCCGAATCCGAAAATGAGCAAACTTCGGATGCACGAATCGAATTTTCCCCGATCGGCCGATTTTCATCCCTTCTACAGCCGGCAAAAAGTGTCCCTGCAGAGAGCTCCGCTATTTCTGACAGTTCTCTGACAGTTCCTTCACATTTACAGTGGTTGAAACATTGTATCTATTTGTTTCCATTTAGGATACAGATGTTTTTATTCGGAAACAAATAGATACAATGTTTCAACCGCTGTAAATGTGAAGGAACTGTCAGAGAACTGTCAGAAATAGCGGAGCTCTCTGCAGATACACTTTTTGCTGGAATGGAATTCTTCTTATTTTCATCCTACTTTCTTCTTCTTATTATTATTATTCTTCTTCATCCTCATCCTCTTCTTCTTCTTCTTTCTTCTTCATCCTCATCCTCTTCTTCTTCTTCATCCTCATCCTCTTCTTCATCCTCATTCTCTTCTTCATCCTCATTCTCTTCTTCTTCATCCTCATCCTCTTTTCTTATTCATCCTCATCCTCTTCTTCTTCTTCCTCCTCACCATCATCCTCTTCTTCTTCTTCTTCATCCTCATCCTCTTCTTCTTCTTCTTCTTCATCCTCATCTTCTTCATCCTCATCTTCTTCTTCTTCTTCTTCTTCTTCCTCATCCTCTTCTTCTTCTTCCTCATCCTCTTCTTCTTCTTCTTCATCCTCATCCTCTTCTTCATCCTCATCCTCTTCTTCATCCTCATCCTCTTCTTCTTCTTCCTCACCATCATCCTCTTCTTCTTCATCCTCATCCTCTTCTTCATCCTCATCCTCCTCTTCTTCTTCTTCATCATCCTCATCATCCTCATCCTCTTTTTCTTCTTCTTCTTCTTCCTCACCATCATCCTCTTCTTCCTCACCCTCTTCCTCTTCCTCTTCTTCTTCTTCTTCATCCTCTTCCTCTTCTTCTTCTTCCTTCTTCTTCTTCTTCTTCTTCTTCTTCTTCTTCTTCTTCTTCTTCTTCATCCTCTTCCTCTTCTTCTTCTTCCTCATCTTCTTCTTCTTCTTCTTCTTCTTCTTCATCCTCATCCCTCTTCTTCTTCTTCTTCTTCTCATCCTCTTCTTCTTCTTCTTCTTCATCCTCTTCTTCATCCTCTTCTTCTTCTTCTTCTTCATCCTCTTCTTCTTCTTCATCCTCTTCTTCTTCTTCATCCTCTTCTTCTTCTTCTTCTTCTTCCTCATCCTCTTCTTCATCTTCATCCTCATCCTCTTCTTCTTCTTCTTCATCCTCTTCTTCTTCTTCTTCTTCTTCTTCTTCATCCTCATCTTCTTCTTCTTCATCCTCATCTTCTTCTTCTTCATCCTCATCCTCTTCTTCTTCTTCCTCATCTTCTTCTTCTTCCTCATCTTCTTCTTCTTATTCTTCCTCATCTTCTTCTTCTTCTTCTTCATCCTCATCTTCTTCTTCTTCATCCTCATCTTCTTCTTCTTCATCCTCATCCTCTTCTTTCTTCTTCTTCTTCTTCTTCTTCTTCTTCTTCTTCTTCCTCATCCTCATCCTCTTCTTCTTCTTCATCCTCATCCCCTCTTCTTCTTCTTCTTCTTCTTCATCCTCATCCTCTTCTTCTTCAATTGAAGCTGCTTCTGCTCCGCCACTCTGCCATTGGACTCTTGATAGTCGTCTCCCCACACTGCTGCTGGGGGGACTTTTTAACATAGGCCTCTGTATGGCCTTCAATTTAAGCTGCTTACGCTTCGCCACTCTGCCATGGGCCCCTGTACCACCTCCTCATGCTGCTGCCAGGTCCAGAGTGTGTCATGGGTCCCTGTACGGCCTCCCATTGCTGCTGTCTCCATCGCCACACTCTGCCATGTGCCACTTTCAGGTCTCCTCACACTGCTGGTGGGTTCCATTTTGTCATAGGGTGCTGTATGGCCTCCCATTGCTGCTGCCTCCACCACCACACTGTGGCTCCACACTCTGGTTTTGGCCCCGTGACTGCCCAAATGAGTGAAGTGTGCTGTGATTCTAAGATCGACAGTATTATTTCTCTTCCCCAGCAGACTCCAAGGGCATTTAAATTAAAGGTACAGTGTTCTGCACTAATATAAAGGCTCTCTGAAGCCTAGAAACCCTTTTAATAAGTTAAATTCGCAGCGAATAAATTCGCATTGAATCAAATTTATTCCGCAAATTCGGCGAATCAGCCGAATCGAATTTTTGAATAATTCGCTCATCTCTAATCATATGCTGTGTTCTCTGCTGCCATGGCCAGGCATAGATATGAGAGTATAATGTGTTTTATGCATTTCAGCGACAATACACTCTGTCATCCTCAGGGTAACCCTGAATTTGACCGGCTCCACAACATTCAGCTCCTCGCAAATCACCTTAACCTAAAATTTGCAGATGTCTATACTCCCCAGTAAAACATCTGCATTGAGGAATCCCTTATTAATTTTTCTGGCGCCTTGCATTCAAACAATTTCTCCCCAGCAAGCGTGCCAGATATGGGGTCAAGATGTAGAAGACCTGTGAGAGGATAACAGGCTATACTTATAAGTTTCGGATTTATGAGGGAAAAGATAGTCACGTGGAGCCCCCGCCCGGATGCTCAGACTACATGGGGAGCAGTGGCAAGATAGTTTGGGACTTGGTGTCATCATTTCTCCATATGGGGTACCACTTATACGTGGACAATTTTTATTCAAGCGTGCCACTATTTAGACATTTATTCAATCTTGGAACTGGCACTTGTGGCAAAGTGTGACCTAATGTGTGCCCACCATTAGAAGTGGGTGGATGCAGGGCGGAATATTGTAATGGTGGGCATACCACACACTTTTTCTGGCAGAGATTTCTTCTCATTTTTTCATTCAGTCCACAGGCTGCATACAAAAAAAAAAAGAAACATAGCATATATAACCAACAAGGACCAGCAATGTACTGGTACATCACTGGATTTGAATGGTTATACCAGGATGATGCCTACAGCTGCAGGCATCATCCTGGTATTGTTTTTTTCAGCCGGTGATCGGCTTTCATGTAAAAGCAATCCTAGTGGCTAATTAGCTGCAAGATTGCTTTTACAAGCAGTGGGAGATGATGTCCCCCCTCCCCCGCTGCCTTCCACGGCCTTCTCGGGCAGTCCTGTGCCATCAGGGGAACCTGAGAATGCAGCCAGTGTTTCTGCCAGCTGACCATAAAGCTGATTGGAGACCATCTCTATAGTCTAAGAATTTGGAAGCTAGAAGCATTTCATCACTTCAGTTTCGCAGGATATAAACAGCGCCATTTGTACATTGGGAAAGCATCTGATCACACCGATTTTGGTTTGATTAGATAATGTAAGGACAGAGGAGATATCTAGAGTCTGATAGACCCCAGATTTCTAAAAAAAGAATATGACAATGCCCATTGAAGTTATAGGGGTTATTTGCATTCCCTGTTATAGCATTAAAAGTGAAAAAAAAAAAGTACAATGTAAAAAATAAAAAAAATAAAAAAAAATCAAAATAACTAAAAAAAAAAAAAAAAAAAAAAAAAAATTGCCCCTCCCATGCGCGCACACCTGTGTGCACAAGCCTTGACCCTCTGCCGTTATGTAAACAGCGGTTGCACCATGCATGTGAGGTATTGCCGTGAACATCAGATCAAGGGCAGTAATTCTAACACTAGACCTCCTCTGTAAATCTAAAATGGTGGCTTTGAAAGGCTTTTAAAGCGCTGCCTATGGATATTAAAAATGTTTGCAGTTTGTCGCCATTGCACGGGGCATGTGCAGTTTTAAAGCATGTCATGTTTGGTATCTATTTACTCGGCATACCATTATCTTTTATATTTTACAAAACAATTGGCCAATATATTGTGTTTTTGTGCATTAAAAGTAAAAAAAAAGTGTATTTTTTTAAAAAAAATTGCTTTGCAAAAGCGAGTACTATGTGCCATAAAAAATTGTAGTACCCACCATTTTATTCACTAGGGTGTCTGCTTTAAAAAAAATATATAATGTTTGGGGGTTTAAATTAATTTCCTAGCAAAAAATAGATTTTTTTCATGTGAATGAAAAGTGAATGATGTGTGGCATAAACTTCTAATGCTGGGAGTAAAACGCCCCCACCCCCCAAAATGACCCCTTTTTGGAAAGTAGTCACCCCAAACTATTTGCTGAGAGGAATGTTGAATCAATAGGAGAATTAATTTTTTTACCACAAGTTTTTGGAAAATGAAAAAAAAAATAAATATATATATTTTTTTTTCACAAAATTGTCACTTAAATGATTTACTGCTCACACATGCCATGGTTATATGTGGAATTACTCCCCAAAATACATTTTGCTACTTCTCCCGAGTATGGGGGTACCACATGTGAGAGAGTTTTTGGCAGTCTAGCCAAGTACAAGACCCCAAAATCCTATAAGCACCTTCAGGCTTTTAAAGGGCTTTATTTCCTCATTACACTTCCAGACTACCTATCACAGTTTCGGAGGCCCTGAAATGCCAGGATAGCACCTAACCCCCCAAATTACCCCTTTTTGGAAAGTAGACACCCCAAGGAATTTGATAAAAAGCATGGTAAGTATTTTGCAGATTTCATTTGTTGCCACAAGTTTTTGGAAAATGAAGAAAAAAAACAAACATATTTTTTCTATTTTTTTTATATTTCAAAACCTTGTGATAAAAAATGAGATCTGCAAAATACTCACCATGCCTCTTTTTAAATTCTTTGGGGTGTCTACTTTCCAGAAAGGGGTCATTGGGGGGGGGGGTTGGGGCTATCCTGGCATGTCAGGGCCTTCGAAACTGTGATAGGTAGTGAGGAAGTGTAATGAGGAAGTTACGCACCTTCAGGCTTTAAAAGTGGTCATTGGATTGCTGGCTCCTGTATGTGGCTAGCTCCCAAAAAGTCTCACACATGTGGTATCCCCATACTCAGTAGAAGTAGCAGAATGTCCTTTGGGGTGTAATTCCACATATACCCATGGCTTGTGCGAGAAATAAATCATTGAAATGACAACTTTGTGTAAAAAAAAAAAAAAAAAAAAAAAAGTTTTTGTCATTTTCCAGAAACTTGTGGAAAAAAAATAAATCTTCCATGGACTCAATATGCCTCTCAGCAGATAGCTTAGGGTGTCTAATTTCCGAAAAGTGGTCATTTGAGGGTGTTTGTACTATCCTGGTATTTTAGCACCTCAAGAAATGTGATGGGCAGTCAGAAAGTAAAAGCTATGTAAATGCCATTATCTATACCATAGTTTGTAGACGCTATAACTTTCACACAAAGCAATCAATATACACTTATTGGGATTTTTTTTTACCAAAAACATGTAGCAGAATACATTTTGGCCTAAATTTATAACTAACTTTGAGTTTACTATATATTTTTTATAGCTGAAAGTAAAAAATATTGTTTTTCTTCAAAATATTTGGTCTTTTTTTGTTTATAGCGTGAAAAATAAAAAGCGCACAGGTGATCAAATACCACTGAAAGAAAGCTCTATTTGTGTGAAAAAAAGGACGTAAATTTCGTTTAGGTGCAGCATTGCATGACCGCACAATTATCAGTTGAATTAGTGCAGCGCCGAGTAGCAAAAAGAGGCCTGGTCATTAAGGGGGGTAAATCCAGGAGCTCAAGTGGTTAAAGACCTGAGTATAGTAAGGTATTGTTGAAATTTTATGCTGAAGACAGGACTGCTGTGCATGGACAGGCTGAAAGGAGACTACATTTCCCAGAGGAGCCATATAAGCTATATAACCAAAAGCCCAGGAACTTACTGGAGGGGAGGAGAAAGACTGTGTGAGAGGGAGGACATGTGCTGGACACTGGTGTGGGACTCAGAGAGCCCAGGCTGGATCAGGTTGCATCAGAGAGCTTGAAGGAAGGACTACAGATCACTGGCATTATTGGCAAGCAGGAGAGCTGACCTTGCAGGGAGACAGATCATGGTATTTTTCCCCCGCTATCGTTCTGTTCTAGAGGGACCAAGTGGACAAGGGGTGCCCCCAACCAAGAGACTGTTCTTTACTCTGCTAAGACTACAGACTTGGTGAGAGGGTTCCACAACCCAAATTGTCTTCAATTACCAAATATCTAGCTGTTTTCTGAGTCCTATCAGTGTAGCACTACCCTTTAGGAGTTGCTAAGTTTTGGCCCCCCCTAGAGCGCTGCACAGCCAGGCAGCATGCATTTTCTTCCACACTGGAGTCAGTAAATAGTCCTTGAGCTTGGTTTTGTTGTTTTATTAGGGGTTAACAACTTGGACGGGGTCTAGAGGTATATGGGACGCCCAGGGAAATTAAACTTCAGGACAACTTATAGCAACTATGTATAAAATATGGACAAAAACAGTCTCTCCTCTAAGAGAATCCAAAGCTCAGAATCCAGATGACTCCTCCTCTTCATCAAGCTGTCTGAAGGTATTCCCTGGGTAAGGGGGTCCAAGAACTGTAGATTGAGAACAGGCTCAGATGAAGTTGGGTATTGCACCTGTCTACCCTCTCCCCTTATCTGGGCCAGGGGGTGCAAGAGTACTCACACTGTCCTTTCTTGTCAGCTTGGTGGGTTGGTGACTGCCTTTAGGTCTTTTGCTGGGCTGGCTCCTTCCCTGCTGTTTAGGACATCCCCCCTAGGAGACAGTGGCACAGTGGAGATCCTCTTCTTCACCAACTGCCCATAGGTAGGCCCCCTCCCTGGGGCCCCCTCCCAGGCTCCAAACTCCATCTCCTCTCAGTCCATTTTCCACCTGGCACTCTAACCCTGCTGCATAGGCTCTGACGCTTTTGAGGGTTGCCCTGGACACCAGTCCCAGCCTCCCACCAGGGGACTGGCCAGGGTCCCTTAAACATGCAGATCAGAGCCTCCTCCCCTCCTCCACCTTCCTCCAGTAATCTCTCTAAGTTTCTGGAATGGTGGGTGGGCTTCAGAAGCCACGACCTGTCAAAGCCTCTCAGCCTGTCCCGTGGTGAACTCCTGCACCACTCACAGGCTGACCCATCCCAGGCTGCCATTCAGCCTCTGCCCAAAAGGAAAACCATAACAGCTATCTGGCTAATCTGGAGGGTGTTACACCAGTGCAGTACACTTTGCATCACAGTCTACTACTTGAAACAC